TCCATTCTTCGTATTTCATAAGTATTTAAAAATATATTATACATCATAATGAATAAATACATCTTGAGTAGGTGATGAAATGTGAATTTTCAAATTATGAATTTATTATACTTAATTTTTAATTTTAATGTGATCAACATAAGTCTCACGCCACATACTAAGTCTAGACAACCAAAACGTATCGTGACGTGTACATAATTCTAACTAATGTTCCTACCCAGTATAATCAGAATATTTATTTATTTATTTAAGGATTACCAACAGGGTTTACAGTAAGACATAAAATAACATTGACATGTATAGAGCAATTGATAACTGCAACTCTAATTAAAGGCAATCACAGCATGCATTACATTAATATATCAATAGAGATATAACAATACTATTAATAATAATAAAAAATTAAAAACAAAAGAAAGACAACAAGGACAGTAATACCCGAGTACTCAGACCAAGGCTGAGGCTGAGGTTCAACAACAACTTTTTATAATTTTGTTCCTGAATATTGGAAGGGAATCGCCAAATATGTCAAGGTTTTCAGCTTTTCTGAATTTAAATGAGCAATCTCAGTTTCCTTAAACTTATTGCTGCCCCAATTTTCCCATCATCTCACACATTAAAAAAAAAAAGATCGAAGTATCTCTTTTTTTTTTTTAACTTCATATCTTATTTCTTGTCACTTCCAACGCTGATCATTTGTGTTTTGAATGATTGATGATGAGCTAGTGCGACTTTAGTAGTTCGTTCAAGTACAGAGTTTACTGTAGTTTTTGACAAGCCAAAGTCTTTTAGTAGGTTATGGAGAGATTTCGCTGGTATTACCTGTCCCTCCCACTTCAACAGCAAATAAACTAACCATCCATTTTTCCATATCCATTTTTGGTTAGCTCATTCGTGAGATCGTAGTATGTGTTTCTTTTTTTGTGTGATCTTTAGTATATTTGTTTCCCACGGTATAGTAAGCTTCACTAATGATACATGCTTGGTTTTCCTAGAAAAGAGAAATATGTCCAGTCTGGAAGGCCAAATTCCGACATCCTCAGTGATTTTTACGCTTTCTAGTCACTTTAAAGGGCAACAAAGGCTACTGGTGGTAGGACCTCTTGTGAGTCCGCACTGGTAGGTACCACCGCCCTGCCTATTTCTGCCGTGAAGCAGTAATGCGTTTCGGTTTGAAGGGAGGGGCAGCCGTTGTACTGTTAAAAGTGAGACCTTACAACTCATGTCTCAAGTTAGGTGGTGGCATTTACGTTGTAGATGTCTATGGGCTCCGGTAACCACTTAACACCAGGTGGACCGTGAGCTCATCCACCCGTCTAAGCAATAAAAAAAAACATAGCCAACTGGGCTGTGAGATCATTCGCCCATCTAAATAAGTGATAAATGCAACTACTGCTGTTTTTATCGTGATGTAGATGAGCTAAGAGCGTTGCCTAGCAACCCTGCGTCGCCAGAGCGTCGAGCGCCGGGACGCTGCGGGCGCCAGTGTACTCCCGGCGTCGACACCGACGTCTACTGCAATCATAAAAAGTTAAATGCCTGCACTGTGTGTGTGTGTGAATTTAGAAATTACATCAAAACTATCAAAAAATTATGTAAAAACGATTGATTGATAGTGTGAACTTTGAATATGGAAAAAGAAAGTGAAAGAATTGTGTTTGTATGCTGTGATTCAAATAATGTTTAAACATGTCAAATTTCGTGAAGTGATATGACTGATACGCCAAAACTACCGATTACACTGATGCATAGAAAATAAAATATTTCCAAATATGTAGTTTTAATAGGAAGTGCCGTAAAGAATATAATTATAGCAATATACATTTTTTAAATATTAAGTTAATAAATTCGGGAAACTTCCGTGCATTTGAATTAGCAGACGAGCATAGTAAACAGCATATGATAAGATCAAGATAAAGTTTTGCGTAAATGCATAAAATAATATTATTACATATTTATTATCAGACGCATGCTGATACAAGCATTCTTCTCTAAAATTTAATGATAACGTTCCCCAGGTGCAGTTGAATTTTTAGCATAAATAATTTCAAAACACAAAATGTAAGAACAGTTGTTTATGATGCTCGCTAAAAATCTAAATTTGCGTTTCGAATCATGTATTATTTTACGAAGTAAAAATGAGAGAGCACTTTTAGAAAAGAGTACCTATTTACACGGTGCCGTTTTGTATGTTGTGTTTACAATAGCTCATTGAAAGCGAGAAGAGAAACGAAGTAATGAAAGGACGGTCGACGGCTGCCAGCACTCTGTGATCTTTGCTTCTTGTATGTGACGGCCTTTTATTTAAACAGGTCTCACCCTCTCGGTTATTCACCCTCGCGACCGTCGAGCACGCGCTTTCCGAGGTCAGGGTTAAAATCTGCGCCATTACTGACACTCGGACGTATGTAAACATTCTGGCGCTAATTAAATCTCAAGCTGTCAAAACCAACGAATACTCTTTCAAAACAGTAAAGAGAATCGTAGGGTTTTGAAATGTTTTCTTAAATGTAGTTAAGCAAATTATATTACTTATGTGAATTTGGATGTCGCAGTGCAGAAATACAGGCGCATGCCCCCGGGCGCCGGCCACTTTACGTAGTCGGCAGATTCCTGCGGATTTTCAAGGGCTTATAAGAACTCCCATTGTTTTTCTTCAAACAAAGATTTCAGTTTTTTGTTTTTTTTTTCATTTAAATTTTTGAATGGTCCGTATCGATTGTCTTTACTAAAGCCAAGACGTGAACATCTAAAAATGAAACGTATATTTTTCTAAATTATTCTTATTTGAATTCAATGAAAGTTAGCTTCAATAATAGTTTTGCACAAAATAAATTATTACGATATTCGTTCGACTATTCGGCGATAGATGGCGTTACTCTTACCGGCGTAACAATATTATAGATGAACTAGAAATTAGTGGAAGCGATCGAGGATGCGCGGTCGTACTAATAGCGGAAGTGGCGCGGAAGCAGCGCGCGCGCTACATCGACTCGCGTTCGCATTGTGGCGTGCCGTGTTCTACATCCAACGAGGACATTTGCGACATCTACACACGCGCTCGCGGAGACTATGGGCCGATCAACGTACTTCGGTGGGCATCATCACTTTAATTAATTTGTCGTCGATTCAATTCAATGAGATCAGGGATGCCAAAAGCAGTCGATGTCGGTCCCGAGAGGCCGATATGTTTTTTTTTTTATTGTTTAGATTGGTAGACGAGCTCACAGACACCTGGTGTTAAGTGGTTACTGGAGGCCATAGACATCTATAACTTAAATACGCCACCCACCTTGAGATATAAGTTCTAAAGTCTCAAGTATAGTTACAACGGCTGCCCCATCCTTCAAACCGAAACCCATTACTGCTTCACGGCAAAAATAGGCGAGGTGGTGGTACCTACCTGTGCAGACTCACAAGAGTGAGTAAAAGTAAAATAGTGAAAGTAAAAATTAAATAAATTTCCCAGGTTTTTGTAGGTATATTGATTGATTTTAAGAGTCGACGAATTCTAAAAATCGACCCCTATCAATTAACAAAAGTTTCTTATTTGTAACTTTCAAAATATCGCTGTTTAAGTTGTTTTACTTGTACCAACTTGTTATAAGAATGACATATATTTGAGTAAGAAGTATAATTGTTGTACTTTTAAAATACTCAACAAATGTACTATCATGCAGAAGTTAGGTGTCCCTACCCTGTTAGGTCTACTTCGGAGGCATTGAGGCAGCTGTTTGCTAATCCCAATCCTCCTGACTGTAAGACGGAAAACTGGGCAAGTTAACAATTAATTAAAATGGGTCTCTTGCTTAAAATTGTTTGGGAATCTCTGACTCAAACCGAAGCATATAAAGTATAAAACAACTCTAATATCATTATAAGTGTATCACCTTTAATATGAAGTTTAAAATATGAAGTACAAAAAGCTACGTGTAAATTTATCACTCCAGTGTAAAGCCTAACTTCATCATTAGATCGTCATTATGTATTATCGTTCTTAAACATTCTCACAGAGGTAAATTAAATATCATCGTATTACATGAACGTTGCTGCATTAATCACTTAAAGCTATGGTTAATCCACACCTAAGGGCTTCGTTTATCAGCTTTATTGAACCCATCATTCACATCCCGTATCGGACGGCTAGATCTAGGCAGCCCGACGTTGTGGCCTAAAGGATAGTTCTGTGCAGTGGTGTTAAGCGATGCGACTATGTTTTTTTTTTCTACCTATGCTGATAGCCTTGAGAGGCTATATCAGCGTTACCCTAGCGTGTAGGTGAGCTCTCGGGGTTCAAACTGGAGGTGTTGCTAACATTGGCCCTAGCAAGAGCAGTGCTTCGCAGAATCACGGAATCACGGGTAGGCAGCGGCTTGGCTCTGCCCCTGGCATTGCTGAAGTCCATGGGCGAAATATTGTCGTGTAATAAAATCTAACCCACATTTTTTTTATTTGCCTAGCAGAGGGCATGGTAGGGCATCGTAGGTCTGCACCGGCAGGTACTACCGCCCTGCCTAAGCATCATGCTTTTCGGCTTAAAGAGTGGAACAACCTCATGACTCAAGAAGGCATTCACATTGTACTATATATGTGCTCCTGTAACCGCTTAAACCAGTTCAGCCGTCAGCTGATTCAATCATTTACACAAAGAAAATACCCAAATACTTTGTAACCCTCTAAACGTGATGTACCTTTGTATAACTTTGTTAAGAGATGTAAAATACAACTTTTATTGTTTTATCATTTAGAATTAATTAACAAGTAAATAACGTAGAATTAATCGTGACAAACAAAACAAATGCTCTATTTATGATATTGTAAAGTATTATGTAAAAGTCTATTCAGATTTCTCTATTCGCTGAAATTTTCGAGAATTGCTTGAGTTTGAAATCTCAATAATATCACTTGTAATTAAGAGCGTGATAATATTACCAAATACAAATTTAAAAAAAGGTGATAGAACTTCTGAATCTTTTAAAAATGATTGTGTTTTGTTTCAGACACGATCGGTAAGCGCACCGGCGACCCCTGCTGCCTTGACATTTGGAAAAGAACAGGTGAGAAGCACTTATTTCGAAACCGAATATTTTCTATTTATATACAAGTACAGAATTTCGGCTTCCCATTCGGCCAGCGACAATATGCTTTTATTCCCTATCCGACACGTCATTACGGATCCTCCCGATCCATTAACGGTGCTTTTAGGTACCACAAGCACTGGTCACCGTCCTCGTCGAACCCGTCGCTTGCGACGTAGGGCTCGACGAGCGAATTAACCCATAGACACAGCCCACTGAGTTTCTCGACGGATCTTCTCAGTGGGTCGCGTTTCCGATCCGGTGATAGATACTGCGAAGCACTGCTCTTGCTAGGGTCAGTGTTAGCATCACTCGGGTTTGAGCCCCGCGAGCTCACCACTAGTTAAGATTACGCTGAAATAGCTTCTCAAGGCTATCAGCTTAGGTAGGATAAAAAAATCCCGTCTACCCGCGGTAGTACCAGCTTATATTCCTACAGAACTCATCCATGATTCCTATCTTAGCTAGGTTACTGTATATGTCTGTTTCTATCGTGAAGCTATTATTTCATTTCATTTGAAGCCTAGGATGTCTTTGAATACAACTGAGAATACGGTCTTATAACTCGAGTGTTGGAATTGTAAAATCATAAAATCTAATCGCAACAGCTCGTTTTAATATAAATTAATAGACAATATAAAGCACGACTTTACATGAACCAACTTAATCGGATTACATTCACGGCGAACAAAGCGTTTAGCTTTATTTACTCCGTCGTCACCCACGCGCTGCTTGTGACACTTTCACAACTACAACGCGCCTAAAATATTATTTGTTCTGTCATAAATTTACCGTCAAACCAAATTCACGACATTCACTCGAAGAAATCACTTTAAAATGACGCTCGGTCAGCTTATTCCAGAAACGAGTTGACGACTTACATATGCTTAAGAAAATATTTGAGTTTGCACTGTTACCAACCAGGCTTCCTCGTGCGAGAGGCGTTCGTTCAGTTTCGAGTATGTACCGCGCCGATACATTCTTAAACGATGATATAAATATTTACTAGTCTTTTACGTTCGATTGCGCGTGTAGCGTGCATCTATCTCTGCTTAATCTATCATTGGTACGGAAATAGCTCGGAAAACACTTTATTAAATCTGTTCTGTACAAGTAAATTGCATTTGATTTATATTCATCTGTACGTGAAGGTCGATAATGTATAAATTTACATAAGCCTATACTATTGATAGTATGAATTTGTAGTATCACTTCCGCTTCTTTTAGGAATTCATTAAGACGCGTTCAATGACAACTTTGAATAAAAAAAATTTCGTGTGTCATTTCGCTTACCAGAAAATAATAGTGAGGTAAACGAGTAAAACCAAAGACTTTGCTGGTCGCGGACTTCCTTAAAAATATATATAAATTTGTGCCTGTGTGCGTGTCTACACTTTTAGTGATTAAGGACGAAAAATGTACTATTTCTCAAAGTTTGTATCCATTATTAATTATTATTTAATAATAACAACATAAAATGAGTGACGTTTACTTTTTTCTCTACTTTTCACCGTTGGTAGTCTAGGAGGCTACGCGCCACTACCGGTCTGGTAGGTGAACCCACGGGTCTCAACCTAGGAGGACTTGCTAGCACCAACTCTAGCAGAAGCATTGCTTCATTGAATCTACTACTAGATTGGAATCGGAACGATGACGTTTTATGCAAACAGGAGACCCAAGTGTTTTGAAGTCTCACAGCTTCTTTGACTTGCAGTTTATATATATAAGTATATATACTGTTTAAAAATAGTGGATTTAAAAAAGTGCTAACCATCTTCACTGTTTGAATTTGACTATTTTTATTTTCAACCGCCAATACTCTCTAGCCTCGTCACAATTGTGTACCATGTAAAATGTATTGAAATGCACATGCATATTAGCACCGCAGTTCAGAACTTGTTCCCAAAACCGCAAACTTGTCTACGCAATTATACTTGATATTTACAATATGTTTCCTAGTCTGTGTTAGGTACCGAACATTGTAGTCACTGTTAGAAACATTCCCGCAAACTTAAGCAGCTGTTGATTCTAGTCACGAAATATCACGGTCTATTTTGTTCTCTAGGGAGAACTCATAACCTTCATATTAATCAGACTTGAATTTGAAATGCACAAAAAATCAACCCCAAAAATGAGACGGATTTCTGCTTAGCTTAATGACCTGATATTGCATACGCATATTTTCCTTTACATGATTTTTGAAGATTAAGCTGTCAAATCTATATATTGATACGTGAAGGAAAAACTTTGTATCCCTTTTAACGAAAATTGCGCGGACGGAGGAGTATGAAATTTCACACACTAATAGAGAATATAGAGAAGGAGTGCCGAATGTTAATATTTATTTTAATTGTGCCTAAAAATACATTAAATCAATAAAGAAAACATTACACACACTACCATGTATTTGACGCACACACGCACGCATACTATTTATTTATTGTTAAACTTTTGTTCTTGACGTATGTGGTCAAATTGAGAATAGATTAAATATTGTTTGTCTTTATTAATATTTTTCTATAGTGTATTCTTGGCGAAATTTGTGATTATAGAAGTATAATAAATAGTCTTTGAAAATAGAATGATAAGTATAAGTATAAGTGTACAAACTTATAATTTTAATTAATTATAGTCGAATTTCGACTACCGGGCGACCACTGGTAGTAATAATTTTTCGTAATAACCTACAGGGTGGCGGACGATCTGCTAGCTATCCCGGCGGTGCGGCCGGCTCCAGACTAGACCTCTGTTACGTAGCAGAACGAATGCTGGCTTTGCATCTCCCGGGCAGAGATGCTCATGCAGAAGCACAGGCCGCGCATATGCTCACAAATAAACACGGAGAACATTTCATGGTGAGAGCATATTTTGCTATATGTATTCCACATTTGATAGCTGTTTTATTAAATAGTTAATTTTTTTTTTCATTTTAATGTGAATAATTAATATTTTACTGACAAAATGAAACAGTAATAAATTCCCTTTTTACCGTCCTAGAGTTTACTTATTCGTTTGATTTCCTTTAGTGTGCCAACATTTACAATTTTATTAAAAAAAAATATTATGGTGCCAATGGGTGTATGAAGTCACACATTCCACTGATTATAAAATGCTTAACGTAACCCATGTACCTTCAGTTATGACCTTATATACCTTTAGTATATGTTACAAGATGGCAAAAAGCTATCGAACAAAATGGTACCTACATACTTTAGTTAAATTTAAATATATTTTTTTATGCCCTTGTAAGCAGACGAGCGCACGGTCCACCTGATGGTGAGTGGTTACCGTCGCCCTTGGATTTCAGCAATGCCAGGGGCAAAGACAAGGTGGTATCTACCGCAAAAAAAAATGTGAATTTTCTTAAAAAATGCGAAGAATTTTTTTCCCCAACCTATTATTTTTAGTTAACGCAGTAAATATTGTTATATTCCAGGTGTTCGAGGTAAGCGGTGGAGAGGGTGCTGATGAAGGTGTAACAGCTCGCAGCGTGTTCGGGCGCGCTCGTGCTCTCGGCTGGGCCGGCGACCTGGCCCCTCCCCTCGAGCGACTCTGTGCTGCTTGCAAGCACATCGAGAGCTGGCTCGCTGCACATCCCAAGAATGTCGCTATATTACTCGCCTGGTTAGTCATTTGACGGACGCCATCGCAACTTTTTTTTTCTTTTTTTTTATTGCCCTTGTAGGCAGACGATCACACGGCCCACCTGATGGTGAGTGGTTACCGTCGCCCATGGACTTCAGCAATGCCAGGGGCAGAGCCAAACCTACCTGCCTACCGCAACTTTGTAGGTTTCTACATTTTTCGGAAATCGTTTTGAACAATTTTACACATTTCGATACATTTTGAAAATTGTTAATATAAACCAGTGATAAAAGCTTAGAAATGCTTATCAATTAAATTTTGACAGCCATTAACGCAAATTTCGTGGAATAAGAATTGCTGTGTAACATAGGCAAGTGCTTGTTGACGCATAGGATATAGGGTACCTGTGTGGAGCGGGGGAAAGGCCTTTCCTTCACTGCTGTTTCTTTGCTGGTACATAGATGAAATTTAATATGAACGTTCCAAAACATTTATGTTTTGCTTAAAATAGGTATTTAGCTTATTTTGAGGTAGTTTAGTATCGCCGATCGGGCCCAAGATCGATTCCCTTGAACTAAACTCTTTTAAAAGGAAAACCAATTTGATAGAAATTTTATGGTCAGATGTTATTCTTCTTTTTCTTTATGACTAGTTTGTAGTTTTATTTACTTCGGAGCTTGCCAGAAGCTGAGTTCATGACAGACCAAAAAGAATAGAAATTAAAAGACGGGCTACATACGTTTCAAGATAACTATTAACGTAAATGTATTATTATTCCTCCGTTAATGTTTAAGTCGCTTGGGCCTAAAGGATAAGACGTCCGTTGCATTCGTATATAGCGATGCAACGGTGTTCGAATCCCGCAGGCGGGTACCAATTTTTCTAATACAATACATACGTACTTAACAAATGTTCACGGCTGACTTCCACGGTGAAGGAATAACATCGTGTAATAAAAATGCAAACCTGCAAAATCATAATTTGCGTAATTACTGGTGGTAGGACCTCTTGGGAGTCTGCACGGGTAGGTATCACAATCCCGCCTATTTCTGCCGTGAAGCAGTATTGCGTTTCGGTTTGAAGGGTGGGGGACAGCCGTTGTAACTATACTGAGACCTTAGAACTTATATCTCAAGGTGGGTGGCGCATTTACGTTGTAGATGTCTATGGGCTCCAGTAACCACTTAACACCAGGTGGGCTGTGAGCTCGTCCACCCATCTACTCTGCCACGCAACAACTAAGCAATAAAAAATAAATAAAAAGGTTCATATATATAGGTATTTGTTTTTATATACAGGGGTAACCGTGAGCGGCTGGGAGTATTGGTGGCTGCATACATGCACTATTCCGCTATATGCGGCGCGCCGGAACACGCGCTCGACAGGTACGCTATGAGGCGGTATCTGGACGATCGCGTGCCCACCTTCCATCTGCCTTCCAACAAACGGTAATTATATTTACTTTATGATACACTACTGAGAACCGACGACTCTTGTAATAATCGTGAGATATGATACGCAAATTAACACGTCATTTCGGATCCTCTCGATCCACTATCGATGCCCACGATAAATTAACCCACAGACACAGCCCATTGAGTTTCCCGCCGAATCTTCTCGGTGGGTCGCCTTTCCGATCCGGTGGTAGATTCTACGAAGCACTGTTCTTGCTAGGGCTAGTGATAGTGTTAGTAACGTCCGCAAGTTAGATCCTCGTGAGCTCATCTACTCGCTCGGTGAAGGTGTTCTAACTCTCTAAGGAACCAGATTAGTAGAAAAAAAAATGCAACTTTTATTTGTTGAACACGCTCGCGTGCCGACTGAAGGACGTTGATTTTCACCGTAATATAGTTAGTGTATAGAGGGCGCGAGTTGCTTACTTATTGAACTATTTTTCGGTGACTCTTACTATACCACGACTTAGGTACGAATTCAAAGACAATATCTTTAAAGATATCTGGCATACTAGTGACCTTGTCTACTACGTGTGCTATCGTTACCCATAAGATGAGGAACTTTAGTATTATTGTTATCATATACATACACTAGCGGATCCGACAGACGTTGTCCTGTGATACACAAAAATTTATTCTAGTCAATCCAGCCGCTTAGTTGCAGTATAGATAAATAACCTAGATATCGACTGCATCAACATCTGCCGGAATCATTGTGAATCTAAACCAACCAAGGCGCCACCTAAAGGCATACAAAAAAATTCATTCAAATCGGTCCAGCCGTTAAGAGGAAGTTCAGTGACATACACACACGTACAGTAGAATTATATATGTATGTAAAGAAAAACCTTCATAGTCTAAAACTATTTGGTTCAGTAAAAAGTTCAGTTTGTTTAAAAATATTAATTTTATTAGATTAAGGGCTTTAAATGTTGTTTTATAATGATATTGGGTATTCCAGAATAAATAAACAATAAATGTCTTAATTGCGTTTTCTGTTATATGTATAATGAGAAAACTTTCTTTTTACTGAATGTCAAACTTAACTGAATGACATAATATAAGAAAAATCCTTATTAGAAAACTAAAGAGTTTTAGACTATGAAGGTTTTTCTTTAAGAAAGATTATAGCGATAAACATAGTGTCACAGGATTTTACTAGTGTTATCTATTTGGACAGGTACATAGACACGTTCGCGGGCCTGTTGGCGGGACAGATCCGAGTGAACGCGGCGCCGCTGCAACTCACGCACGTGAGCGTGGCGGGCTCACTCGCCACGCCGTCCGCACCAACCATCGCCTTCCTCAAGATCTACGAGAACTTTGTATGCGTCTATACTTCGGGTTCGTACAATTTATTTTAATCAGCAGCCGCTCCTGTGTGGACTTTCTCTATCTTCTCTTAAAATTTAGCTAAGTTTACACACGAGTTTTTTGATTAGCACCATCATAGTGCGTAACTATAGGGTGGCAGGGTTGGTAAACTTCCAAGGACCCCCGACCCGAGGTGACCGCGACCTGAAAATAATGTAACTTTTTAAACAAAATTTAGTAATATAATTACATATATATAATTTTTATATAGTAGATACTTATTATCTATCAAAATTCATGCAACCAATAAACATATACATATGTACATTTAGAGAGAGAATGGTTTATTGTACACCGAAAATAAATGAAAAATGTAAAATATTAAATACAAAAAAGTACAATGCTACATTAAAAGTACAAAATAAAATGCATAGAATAATCCTACCAATAATGTCAGAAAACTATGTCATTCATTTAATTATTATTAAATTACGTGACGAAGTGTACTGGGCCTCGTCTAATGAATTTGCCACGGTTCTCTCGGATGATATAGTTGCGCCACTAGGCATAGTTTAGTTATTTGATCCAAAATGTTTACAAATCATACACACAACCCTCCTCTTCTATAATTCTTTCTGTTAGTGAACCTGTGTTAAAATTATTACTTTTATTTTTAAGCGTCTGCCGCACCAGATATTCATACATTCATACATTTACATAATTAAACAATGGTTTTTTGACCTACTTCTTTTTATCTTAGCATAAATTCTGATGTGACTTAATTCCTTTGCTTCAGGCTTGTACATGGTGAACGGTGGCGGTTGGACGGTGGGGGTGGGGCGGCTGTCTCTTCGCGGCGATGTGTGTGTGCGCGCGTACCGACGCCCCGCACACACGCACGGACAGACGCACCGCCATCTTGTGTTCGCGTGTCAGTTCCATACGTGCGCCGTCGCCGATCATACGCTCTCCTTCACTAAGCAACACCTTGATCACGCTGCGCACGGTAATTTTTGACTGTTTATTTTCCCCCACTAGGTAGATAAATTTGCGACTGACCTGATACTGATTATCGTAAGTAATGGACAACGGTAATGAGATGAGAACAACTAAACCTCTGCTTATCGCTGGCAAATCAATGTTTTATAAAATTAAACATTTTTGACATCAAAGTTTGATATAAAACATATTGTTTAAATAAAACCACTGAGGTGTGAAAATTAAGACAATCAGTGTCTTCGTTTTTATGTTCTTAGTTCTTACTTACATAGTTCTAGCATTTATGTTTTTCTCTATTAAAGTTTTCACACTGGAGCGCATCCTTTTTTTTAGAATAAATCAGTAGAATAGACTGTCATGAAGGTATTAAAGAATTTGGTTTGTCGCGTAGATCCGTCGTTTCCAAGTGATGGTGCAGTAGAGTTGGTGTTCGCTCGAGGTGACGGTGCGACAGGAGCGGCCCCATCAGCGCCCGCTCCCACGCCCGCAGCCCCTCTCCGCGCCGCACCAGACGCGCTCGCGCGTGCTGACTCGCTCGAACATCTCCGGCCGCTCTCTACGCTCACCGATGACGACCCTGGTCAGTACACACATATAACATAATTACCCTTAATTTGTAATTTTCAGCCGAACCTTTAAGAGGTTTCCGCGGCTAATGGGCTAGGGAGTGACTGGAGATGTCTAAGGCCCACCCACTAAGCGATAATACTCCACTCTCGTAACATAATTTCCTACTAAAGGGACTGTTTTTTTAATAATAATAAAAAATACGCATTAAAATAAACACCGAAAACTGTTATATTGTAAAATGTTAATATCTATATATATATAAATGAATTGCTGTTGTTAGTCTCGCTAAAACTCGAGAACGGCTGGACCGATTTGGCTAATTTTGGTCTTGAATTAATTGTGGAAGTCCAGAGAAGGTTTAAAAGGTAGATAAATATGAAAATGCTCGGAATTAAATAAAAATAACAATTTTGTTTTTCCTTTGATGAGTCCTCCGTCGGACGGATTCCTTTTGTTTGTTTTAAGTTTATTTTATACAAAAGTTTAGGTATTTTATTTATCGGTTGAGGCACTACGAAGTCTGCCAGGTCAGCTAGTTTGTTTTATAAAAATCTGTCACTTTTAGATGTTCTCCTTATTCTGCATAGACTTAAATGCAGTTCTAAAAACTGGCAAATAGTGAGTGATTGGTAATCTTTAACAAATAGGATTAACACGAAAAAATCGACTTGACTGCCCAATTGCTTTTGATTTGATTCACGATATGATATTATACGTAAATACTAGATCAAAACTGTTTACACAACTCTTGCAAGGGAATCGTTGATCTTGGCCATTAGTTCCGATAATTCATAATGTTTTCGAAGATATATCAGACTCGTTACGTATTTGAAAATCAAAAGTGTTTTTGTACAGTTTTGTTTTCTTTTTATCTTGTTTAAATTTACATTATTTTCTAATAATATTTCTTGTGTGTCAGAGTTATTGTTTTTTACCAACGAACTTATATCCATGTGCGCTACATACATTTATTTTTGAACTAACAATATATTCGAACGACTCTTTGAGCATACGAATTAGTTTCTTATATTTTGTAATTATCTATTTTATTTTGAGGTTCTTAATAGCTTAACTAGTGGTGCATTTATTATGAGTTAAATTTCGTAACGGCTTAGCTGTCATAAGCGTCAGTTTCTCTTCAAAAACACTCACACAACACACAAGTTTATCGCGTTTTTTCCTTCCTATTTTAGTGACCTCGAAGGGTCACACTAAATTCACCGAGCGAGTAAGTGAGCTCTCGAGCCTTTTTTATTTTTTATTGCTTAGGTGGGTGTGGCTCACGCCCCATCTGGTGTGAAGTGGTTACCGAAGTGCATAGACATCTACAACGTAAATTCCGCCATCTACCTTGAGATATGAGTTCTAAAGCTCTCAGTATAGTCACAACGTCTGCCCCACCCTTCAAACCGAAACGCATTACTGCTTCGCGGCAGAAATAGACAGGGTGGTGGTACCTACCCGTGCGGACTCACAAGACGTCCTACCACCAGTAAACATGACTTTATGGTTTTTTGATGGCTCTAACCTGACGTCTGCTAACACTAGCCTTACCAAGAGCAGTGCTTCGCAGAATCTACCACCGAATCAGACCGCAACCCACTGAGAAGATCCAGCAAGAAACTCAGTGGGATATATCTGAGGGAGACAGTTATGGCCATTGGCTTTTGTTAAATGACTATTGATTTTTTTTACTAACTACAGTTGTAGATAGTTTAAATTATAGAGTTTGAGTTGAAACAATGATATATGAATGATTCAGTAATATGAATTGTTTCAGTAATAAGTTTCATATACTATAATTATAGTGTATAGAGATAGTACCCATCCCGTTTGCCTTGTGGTTAGTGATCTTTACTAATTTACTGCTACTTCGATTCTCGCTCTGTGGTAGCTAGCATTTTTATTAAAGACATTTAGTTTTGACAATTTGGACATTAAGACAGTTTTATTATTTGCAAATCATTCTGGTATCTGTAACACAGGAGAAAATCTTTGTTTATTACAGTTGAAACCGGAACGCTTGTTATGTTTTTTTTTTTAATTCGTAAACGTTCGATAATGTGCGTTTTATAATTTTTATCAAGAAAAAGAAAGCCGTTACGAATTCGATTAAACAAACAAGTTTTTAATTAAAAGAATACGTCAATATAAATATTAAAAACGACTTCCTTGAACACAAATATCGCAATTTATTAACGCGAGTCACGTAACTTAATTAATTAAAATATATTTTTGTTTCTCAACCTGAATAAAAGCGGAAAGGTCTCATCAATATCAAACAAATATCTCTTGATTCATATCACTATATTGAATTATACTATACATGTGTTTTTGTATCTCACACTGCTAGTTATTAATTATTAAAACTGTTCATGATGTACAAAGTGTACAATGATGAAGAAATAACATCTCGAAATGCAAGTTTTTTGTTTTCATTGTGGTCTCGACCTGAAGACGAATGTAGTGCGGCTTAAAGACTTCCCGTATATTTTCAATCCTACAGACACGTCTAAAATTTTCGAATTAAATTTCTAACGTGAAACAATAAGTATAACAGCAGCCATGACTATAATATCAAATGGAAATTCCTCGAAAATTCTTATGATAGTTAGCGATATTTTTGATTCACGACATGTCCGTGGACTTGGAAAACCACTTAATGTCTATGAACTTTTCCAAGTATATGGCAATACAAAAATAGAATTCAGAGCGTGATAGCTTATTAGAATTCGGTCTTCAGTTAACATGTTGTAGATTAGCCTCAAAATCATTTGTCAGCATAATGACTCGAGAGCCGTGATGCAGGCGGATCGCGGTGTCTCTGCAGGTGCTATTCTATTTCGGTATGGATGCGGCCGGCGCGCCGCCCGCCCAGTCGTCGACCGCTGCCCGGCTCGGCACGCGCCTTCTTTCATACATACCGGAATATAATTTAAAAAAAAAAACGAGGATCACATTGTAATACAATATAAGTTTCCGCCGCCCGCCCAGTCGTCGATTGCTGCGCGGCCCGGCACACACCTCCTTTAATCTTTAATACACACCGGAATATATTTGAAAAAAAAAAAAAAAAAAACGCATATCCCATTGTAATACAATATCAGTTTCCTAAGTGAAAAAAGTGGTAGTGTTTGAACAGTGAAATTTTAATTAAATTATACGTGTGTGTGAAAACTGCTTGATCGACTTTGAAACTACGTGAGTTCGGAAATTAAAATAATGGTGACGTTAAAATAACGAATTTAAAAAAAATTGTAGCAACATAATAGCTAACATAATTATTAATAAATGACATGTTAAAAACAGTTACATGTACAGTGGTTTTAAGATAATTAATTTAAAACTTCTTTTTTGATATTATAAATACATTCATCGATTAAGTAGTTGAAACAGTATACAAATATAATCATCCTTCACATTATAGGTACTGCGTACTACCTAAATGACTAGGTCATTATTTAACATACAACCAAATTTAATTTAGAAGTACTCCGAGTCATTAACCTAGTTCTATCGCGTTAACGTCGCGCGGCCGATATACCTACATCAAAAGATACGTTACCTACCAAATTATTGCAAAAAGTAAAAACTAGCTATATTTCATCCCATATCATCTCATCTCATTTCATTTAATTTCATCCCAGCTGATTAATGTCTCAAATTAATCATCTTCATTTCATTTCACTCCATATTATCATTTTTCATAAAAATAAGAATATAAATTAAAATAAGACATTACCTAAAGGTCTTAGTTACCAGGTCATAAAATCCCTTAAAAAAGAGATTTTTTTGATAAGAATTGTAAACAAATCGAAGCAAACATTGTCGAGAAAGCATTGAAGATTGATGATACAGTGTAATGGGTATTATTCATGAGACAGCAGATTTATACTAATTTTCATTGGATCGTGTCCCCGCCTACGGTTCGTTTGAACAATGGACTGAATTAGTGGTAATGCCGTTTGAGATCCGATTTGGTCATTCGCGGCGCCTGACCGCTAATTGAGTAGTGTGTCGAATCGTGATGCATGTCCAGTATACTTGACAGCTCTGCCCTTAGGGTCGCAACGATTCGTCACACATTTTCTTCTGCTCGGAGTTCGAATATTTATTTTAAGGACACTCTTAATGTGGAGTGCTATTGTGAACGAAAAAGGTTACTTAAAACATTCTCGTGTGTCCTGCTATTTCATTTAAGCTTGAGATAAAAAAAAAAAAACAACAAATTACGTATTTTGCTTAAAATAATTTTCAGAAATTGGCACAAACATATAACTAAGGTGTCCTAGTACTTTTCTTATAAATTCCAGATCTCTAGATACATCGACTTGGGTTGTACGAATCAATCCCAAAATTTCTAACAACAATTTTTGAATAAAAAAAAAAAACAATAATAAATCAAAATACATTTTGAAAATAGGTCGTAGAAGTATAAAACTGGAATTAATCACAATTTGAAAGAATAAATTTTAAAAATTAAAAACATATCGAGAGATATACATAGTAAAAATATAAACACCGCTATTTCTTTTTCACACACTCGATATTCAAAATAGTTTTCAAGAAAGTTCTCGACAACTTTGAAAAATAAATAAAAATCAGATGGAGGCTCACAGAGTTTTGAGTGTTGTTCTTTTAACTTTATTATATGTATTACACTAAGTCAGCTATCAAGCTCACGGCCCTGATTTTGTCATTACTGAAGTTCCTCAAGGTCATAACAATGTCTCGCTGTCCAGCTTTAGTTGAGGTGGTCAAGTATCAATTTTCTTGTATAACGGCCATCCCACCTTTTAAACTGTAACGTATGACTGCTTGTCAGTAGAACCATTCCAGGTGATGGTATACGTACGTACTTACGTAAATTTAAGGTTGGCAATTTACAAGTTGCGTATTGTAAATTAAAGCTATGAGTGTCGTAATCCATATTTCGACATCTTGAAAGGCGAGACCATCATCTCACTGCTGCCTTTTAATCTTTCCAGTTGTTCCCAATGTGTTTGTCAT